TGAAGATCATTATGTTAGAGAATGCGATTTACATCTGCCACTTTTTTTTTTTTATTAAGACTTTGAAGATGCGTTTGTCTCCATGATGGACATATAGAACTTATCACATACCTTATTGTCTTTTGGGTTTATGAAAGATAATATCATCCATTTAATGTATATTCTGTTTATTTCTGTTACAAAACAAATTTTAAACAGTCTTATTCTTGAATTTTAGAAATCCAGGCAATTCTATAAATTGATGGAAATAGCCTTCTATACTTAACCATAGGTATAGCTAGGATAAATTTTATTTCAAAGTCGATAGTAGTAGAATACAACATTAGGCGTACTAATAGTACACTTCTGAAATTTGATAGGAGGTAACTAAAGATATATTGAAAATAGCAAATTCAGGTAAAATAAGTTAAAAATATCAATAATTTCAGAAAGGTTTAATTAAATTAATGGATTACGGGAATGTTTGTAATACGGGTCTTAATTTTTAGAGCTGAACTTAAGCAAGGTGAACACAATTACCCAGAAAATACCTTTTTTTCCCGTAGTCAGAGATAATGCTGTAGTTTTTTCTGTTCTTATTCAAATTTTATAGAAATCTAGGAATATTGAAATCAGTGTGAATTCTGTTAACTGTTAAGAATTTTGGGTGGTTTAAGAAATTATTGAGAAGAAATCCTGCATAAATGAAATATAACTATTAATACTAATAGGTGATTATAATAACATTACTATATATAGAGTTTTTGCTATGTGCCATATGCTGTGCTAGATACTTAATGAATATTAATTCATTTAATCCTCACAGTTTTTTAATGTTACATTCTCTACATTTGTATTACAGAACATTTTATGGGTGTTTCCACTGGATAATAATTGGGCAGAGGAAGAAAATAAAACTAAAATTAGTTACTTTAGTTGCTCCCTCAGAGCTTTGGAAAAGTCTTGGTGAAGAGAGTATTGAAATTGTAGGATAAAATTAGATGTTTTCCATTAATTCATATTTTATTGTGTATCGCTTGATTATATATATAATAAGGATAAGAAATTATGAGCTCCATTTTATATAATTAGGATTAAACAGGTTTTCTTGATATATGCAAGTCACAGTTTCATTTATTAGGTTTAGATTCCAAAGCCATTGTACATTTCTATCCTAAGTCAAAACAATAATTTTAAACAAAAATCTATTTTTGTTTTTTTGCTTTTTAAGCACTAATTTGGTGTAAATTAGCAAGATTTCACATCCATTGCCACCAGGTTTTCAGTGAACAGAGTAATTACATAATTTAGAGCTTTAACTGGATGTAATAATGGCGTGGAGGAATTTCTATCTTTTGTATTATACTCGAATCCATGATATAATCATTCGTATTATAATAGGCTTTTAATTTAACTTTTGTTTATCTAGATGTAATGAAAGTCAACCTACGAGAAAAGGAAAATATGCCAACTTGTTCCATAGGCTCACTGACAAAATACTACACCATCATCAGATAAAATCTTCTGTGAGGAAAATTGAACTGTGGGCAAGAATTTTAAGAAAAAAGCCCATATGATAAAAATAGTTTTCTAATTCATAAATCACACTTTTTATAGAGAAGTCTCTGTTTGGGCTTTTCTTTTTTCTTCTTTTTTTTTTTTAATAAACAATCATTTCACTCTACACTTATTTGCTCATTGTTGCAGATAATTGCCTCCCAGCTGATTTCAGCACCATTGTTTTGTAGCTTGGGTGTCAATTAAGTACTCAGGAAACTCACAGCCTGACCTTTGTTAGCTTTCTTTTAGAAGCTAAAACTGTGAAGCTTCTGTGACTATGGAAAGTTTGCTTTAATTTTATCTAACATAGTAACATAGTATTAAAGAACTTTGGAGACTAGCTTACCAAGGTTTAAATCTTGTCTGGGACCTTCATCTGTAAAATAGCAACAGTAGTGAAAATGTCTATCTTAAGGTGTTACTCTGAGGATGAGGGGAGTTAATCATAAAAATATGGAACAGTAATTTATTTATTATGATAATTGATCAAAGGTGTTCTAGATGCTCTTTATATTTTACTGATTGGCTGTTACATTTGATAAACCTGCATTGACACATGGTTATTACCTAAAGTCTACAGTTTAGCTCAGGATTCATTCTTGGTGTTGTATATTCTGTGGGTTTGGACAAATGTACAATGATATGTATCTACTATTATAGTATTTAGAGTAATTTCACTGCCTTAAGAATCCTGTGTGCCCTACCTGTTCATCACTCTCTTTCTCCTAACTCCTATTTATCATTGATCTTTTTACTCTCCATAGTTTTGCCTTTTCCAGAAGGTCATATAGTTGACATTCAGTGTCATGAGTGTGATTGAAAAACTAATAGTAGTTAGTTTACAAGATCAATTCTATAATAAGTTAAAGAACAGATCCACATATAAACCTATACCTTTTGGTTGCTGTCTTACAAATATTCTATTCTGGAGTAAAGTACCCATGGAAGACCCAGAAGTTTTTCAGACTTGTTCATACCATGATTGAAAATTATTCTGCTAGATGTGTGGGGATTATTTGGAGATAGCAGAAGTAAGTGTAGTGATATCAGCTATTAGGTGGTTATGTTAACATAATTTGTAGACAGACTTAAAATTTGATGTAAACATGTTTAATAATGCCATTGTTGTTAAAGATAAAGTCTGTCCACTCAAAAATACACAAGAATGAAGTGCTGGGCGCTCCTAGGCCTGCCAATATTTATATTAATAGTTTCAGGATGTTTGCATTTATTTGGTAATACATGTAAGACAGAAGCCAGATTTTCTACTTTTTAATTATTCCTCTAACTTAAGTTTGATGTGTGAATGAGACAGGAGGAAACAATTCATATTGTATGGGTATGTCTTTTATCTGTTATAAGCAGCTGCTACCATTCATTCTGAGGATCCATGTATTAATTTCTTATGAATGCTGTAACAAATTACCACAAAATCAGAAAGTTATGCTCTCACAGTTCTGGAGACTAAGTCTGATCATTGGGCTGAAAATGAAGTGTTGGCTGGGCCTTACTCCCTCTGGAGGCTCTAGGGGAGAATCTGTTCCTTGCCTTTTCCAACTCCTGGTGACCTGTCAGTGTTGCTAGGTTATTTTCTGCATTGCTCAAATTCCTGCCTCAGTGGTCATATACTGTCTCTGTTTCCTTGTGTGTCAAAAGTCCCTCTTACTGCCTTTTTATAAGGCATGTGTGACTGTCCTCAGGGTCTACCAGCATAATCTCCATCTCTCAAAATCCTTCATCATATCTGCAAAGTCTTTTTTTGTTAGCATTTATTTATTTATGCATGTAACAGCTGGGATGTAGGTCAGAGGTGCGGGGGCTAGGGGGCCCATGAGAGGATTCACCAGCGACAGAGTGGGGAACAGAACAGGCAGATTGACTGAAATACACTGCTAAGGGGAGCAGGGGGTGAGACAGGATTGGTCTGCTGTGCCATGTGGGTCACTTCCCTGGCTGGGGATCAAACTTGTGCTGCAGTAGATGCCGGTTGCTTCATAGTGCTGACATTTAACCCCTTGAGCCACCAGGGAGGCCCCTGCAAGGTCTTTTATTATACAAAGTAACAGTCAAAGGTTGCAGCAGTTATAATATATAAGTCTTGGGAGAGCCATTAACAACCTACCACAGTGCTGCTGCCTCTACTTTTCCTTCTCTTTTGTTTTTATTCATTTTCATTTTCTGGAAGAATAGAGTGGAAAGTAAATTGAGTACGATCTACATTTTTTATCAAGATTTAGCTGATATGGCTTAGATTAGTAAGTGAACTATATTGTTCATAGTACAGGACATCAGATTGTGTTCACATTACTTTTTTGTTGTTGATGAATTAGTTGATAGTAATGGTACCTTTATTAAATTCATCACCTATTATCAAAGTAATATTGTGTCTTTGGTTAAAATGTGTAAATTGGCATGAAATTCCTTTGCAATTGAAGCGTCTTTGATAGGTTGATAGCGATAGTGATACTGGTATTGAGAAAGTAGCCATATACTGTTATTGAGAAAATAGTACTAGCAGTATTTCCAGCAAGGTTCCCCCACACACATTTGCATTTTGTTTCCATATGTATGTCAGACTTGAATTTATAGATGGGTAACAGAAGAACTGGCAGAGTTTTTATCTAAAAAGCCATTGTCAAGAGACTTCAGTGATTGAAGGATATATTACGTAATATTTGAATCACTGTTTCCCTAATAACCAAAATAAAGCAGTTGAATTATATGATTGCTAACACCCCTTTTAACTCTTAAAATCTATTTGGTATGGGGCCTCCCTGGTGGTGCAAGGGGTTGAGCACCACACTATGAAGCAATCTGCACCCTCTGCAGCACGAGTTCCATCCCCGGCTGACCAGGGAGCTACCCACATGGCGTAGCAGACCTCTCCTGTCTCACCCAATGCTCCCCTCAGCAGTGTATTTCGTCAGTGTGCCTGTTCTGCTCCCCACTCTGTCTCTGGTGGATCCTCTCACCCTCCCGTGCATTTGGCCTGTACCCCAGTTCTTGTACAAATAAATAAATAAATCTTTAAAAAAAAACCTATTTGGTATGTAGTACAAAGTATTTATTTATTTATTTAAAAAAAAGATTTATTTATTTATACAAGTACTGGGTACAGTCAGAAGTGCAGGAGGGTGAGAGAATTCACCAGAGCCAGAGCAGGGAACAGAACAGGCAGACTGATGAAGTACACTGCTGAGGGGAGCAGCGGGCGACTGGAGAGGTCTGCGCACCATGTGGGACCCTCACCTGGAGACCGGGAATTGAACCGGTGATGCAGAGGCTGCAGGCAGCTTCACAACCCAGCGCTCAACCACTGCGCCACCAGGGAGGCCCTGTAGTACAAAGTATTTAAAACCAACAAAAAGACAAATCTAATTCATTTTATACTATTTCAAATAAGGAATCATATTGACAAAATTGTTTTGAAGTAATTGTTCTTGTTTTTTGTTTTTCTGTAGATGGACCACACATCCCCAACCTACATGCTTGCTAATTTAGCACACCTACATTCTGAACAACTTCTGCAGGGCTTAAACCTTCTTCGGCAACATCACGAACTCTGTGATATCGTTCTTCGAGTAGGTGATGTTAAAATCCATGCTCACAAAGTGGTACTTGCCAGCATCAGTCCATATTTCAAAGCAATGTTCACTGGGAACCTTTCTGAAAAAGAGAACAGTGAGGTTGAGTTTCAGTGCATTGATGAAACTGCTCTCCAGGCCATTGTGGAGTATGCCTATACAGGAACTGTTTTTATTTCTCAAGACACAGTTGAATCTCTCCTCCCAGCAGCAAACCTACTCCAGATAAAACTTGTCCTGAAAGAATGCTGTGCATTTCTTGAAAGCCAACTTGATCCTGGTAATTGTATTGGAATTTCTCGTTTTGCAGAGACTTACGGATGTCATGACCTTTATTTGGCAGCCACTAAATACATATGTCAGAATTTTGAAGCAGTTTGCCAGACTGAAGAGTTTTTTGAGCTTACACATGCTGATTTGGATGAAATTGTTTCCAATGACTGTTTGAATGTAGCTACTGAAGAGACAGTTTTTTATGCACTTGAGTCTTGGATCAAGTATGATGTACAAGAACGCCAGAAATACTTAGCGCAGCTACTTAACAGTGTGCGATTACCATTGCTGAGTGTTAAGTTTCTCACTAGACTGTATGAAGCAAATCATCTTATTCGTGATGATCGCACTTGTAAACAGCTTTTGAATGAAGCCCTGAAGTACCATTTTATGCCTGAACATAGACTCTCTCATCAGACGGTCTTGATGACACGACCTCGTTGTGCTCCTAAAGTACTGTGTGCTGTAGGAGGAAAATCTGGACTGTTTGCCTGTTTGGATAGGTAAATAGAAGTCTTTGTTAAAGGATTGCTACTAATAGATCTTTTATACTTTTTAAGTGTGCTGACTTTCTGTTGTTTTAAAAAATAGCTTTCTTTTTATTTTCTTATCTTCTTTTTTGTTTTTTCCTTTTCCTAAAAAATTTTACCTGGTTGTTTCAATCATATCATCCATTCTCTACAACACCTTCAATTATTAACATGACTTCTTCCTCCCAGTGCATAAATTTTATCCATCCTGGCTACTCAACTAACCCATTTTATCTCTTTTATTTATTTATTTATTTTTCTTTTTATCTTTTTCAAAGATTTATTTATGCATATAAGAGCTGGTGCACAGGCCAGAGGTGTAGGGGGTGAGAGGATCCACCAGAGACAGAGCGGGGAACAGAACAGGCAGATCAACTGAAGTACATTGCTGAGGGGAGCAACAAGTGAGTCAGGAAAGGTCTGCTGCGCCATGTGGGTTGCTCCCTGGCCAGACAGGGATCGAACTCGTGCCGCAGAGGCTGTGGACAGCTTCACAGGCTGCATCTTACTTAACCCCTTGCAACACAAGGGAGGCCCCTTTATGTCTTTTTAAATTTTCTTTGTGAAGCCATTTACATCTCTGAGTCAGACCAGATCAAGAGTATTTATTATTGCTAGCTATATCAGAAGATGTTAAAAAGGAGAGCTAGCAATCTATTATGAGGGCAGACTAGGGACAAAATGGGTTGGAATGAATATAGTTAATTAGAAGAACCACATCAAAATAAGAAAAAAATTCAGTACTGGTACACATTTTGGGCTTTATGTGCAATTTATTTTCTTCATTGTAAATATTTTTTAGTAACAGTTAAGTGCTTGCTTTCCTATTAACTTAGAATAGAGGGGCTGTGAAGTTACTATTCAAATTTGCCATTGCACTGTGAAAGTAGGCATACACAATACATATATGGATGATACCATAAACAGCTGAGTTCCAATAAAACTTTATTTACAAAAGTAGCTGATGAGCTGAATTTTACCCAGAGTGATAGTTTGCCAAATCCTAATTTAGAGTTTTATGAAATTAACTCTACTACTTTGAAAATACAGCTGGATGTTACATATTCAACCATGTAGGTTTTCCTTTGACTTTAACTGATTCATGAAAATGTTGGGATTTTGTGTATTTCTTTAATGCTATGAAATTCTGGCCATTTCTAAAAATTTGGTAGGTTGCATTTCCCACCTCCAATGGTAGGAAACTATTGGTATTTCATCAATGTCAACTGATATTTTGTGTCTTTAAAAAAATTCTCAGTATACATCTTAATTATATTCTAAAATAGGTAATGTTGAGATTGGTGGGATTTATAACATTAGTTATGGTGACTACATGAATTAGTTAACTCTTAAAGACATTGAATATTGGCATGAAGTAAATCATATTAGTCATTTAAATGTCTTGACAAAAAATTCTCAAGCAGTGGCCTCTTGGTTTCTCTATTAAAACTTACAAATTATTGAAGAGTAATAAGAGCTGTTCATATTTTTAGACCCAGTAATCTTTTAAAGAAAAGATTTTCCTTTCATTAAAAAAAATTTTCAATGTCACTTACACAGAGTTGTTTCTTGCAGTATTTTTATAACTATGGAAGAAACTGGAATAATTATTCAATTCTACAGAAAATATTAAACACCTGTGCATCAAGTATAGCATATTAGATTATGACTCTTCAGCAAGTTCATAATTTAGTTAAGGAGGCAAGTGTTTAAATAGTTCATTATAATACTTAGTGTTAAGACAGTGATAAAGATAATTCTGTTCAATTATTAAAGTGAGCGTATATCCCTTTTGAGGGATCTAGGGAAGTGTTGTGAAGAAGTTAATGTCCAAGTTGAGTGTTGATGGCTAAACAAAAACCAAGTAAGGAAAGATCCTGGGAGACCATGGGAAGTGCACAAAGACAATGCCATGACATACTATTTCTAAGTATTAATAAGCAATTGGCAGGCAATAGTCAATATGGACAAGGTCTAACTCCACTCTTCACTCCCTCTTCTCCCATTCTCTTTTTTTTTTTTTTTTTAATTTTCTAGAGGCATGTCTTATTTATTTATTTATTGTTTGTTTGTTTGTTTGGTTTATACATGCACTGGGTACAGTCAGAAGCGCGGGAGGGTGAGAGAATTCACCAGAGCCAGAGTGGGGAGCAGAGCAGGCAGAAGGACTGAAGTACACTGCTGAGGGGAGCAGCGGGCGGCAGGAGAGGTCTGCGCGCCATGTGGGACCCTCCTCCGGTGGCCGGGGAGCAGCCGGGGATCGAACCGGCGCCGCAGAGGCCGCGGGCAGCTTCGCAACCCAGCGCTCAACCGCTGTGCCACCGGGGAGGCCCTCCCATTCTCTTTTGAACCACTCCAGACAATAATTATCTCCACTGTCTCACTGAAACTGCCCTCATTAAAGTCAAATTGTTCCCTGATGTATTATTTTCATTGAAACAAATTCATGTTTTATTTATTTATTTAAAGATTTATTTATTTATATAGCAAAGCTGGCTATAAATAGGCCATCAGTAACTAATGAATATCCTTTAATCATACTAGACAGAATATTTTTATGCATCTGCATTACTGAGTTTGGGAAAATTGGCTACTTTTCTCCAACCTTTTTTTGCAATAAGATACATATTATTGTCACTTGCATGGATATAATATAAAAAATAAATATCCAAATGCCTATCAGTCAGCTTAAGAAATAGACAATACCTTTAACAATACTTTAAACAATACCTTTAAGTCTCTTTTTGCCCCTACTTGATGCCATCTTCTTCCTACCCCCAGGAAGGGATTGTTATCCTGATTTTTCTATATACTTTTCCTTTGCTTTTCATTGTAATTTCATCACATATATGTGCTCCAAAATAGTAGATTTACGTATTTCTATATAAATGCGGAAATATATAGTCTTCAGAGTTTTGTTTTCTTACTCAACAGTAAGTTTGTGAAATTCATCTCTGAGCCTGTATGAGGAAATAACTCATTTGCTTTCATTGGTGTTTGGTATTATAGTATATGGACATAATACAATATTTTCTTTCTACAGTGAACATTTTAATTGTAAGCATTATGAAGTTTTATACATAATGTACATACCCCAAATATACAGGTTAGGAATTATCACAAAGTGAGCATTAAAAATCAGATCAAGAACAGAATATGACCAACATCTAGAAACCACTCATTAGATCTTCCCTGTCCTCCCCAAAGGTAACCATTATCTTCATTTCTAATCCAGAGATTGGAAATGTTTTTGAAATTGATACAAATGAAAAGATACAGAATATATTTTATATTTGAATTGTTTACAGTTTTGACTATTACAACTAATGTCACTGTGGAACGTCCTGAGCACACATATATACATATGCATTTCTTTTGGCTATATTATCTAGGAATGGAATTATTTGGTCATAGGGTGGATATACTGCATCTTTTTTACTCATTCTCTTATCTACCCATTTAATGGATGGTTGCAGTGTGCTGCTGTGAACATTTCTGTCTGTGTATCCTGGTGCAAAACTAACTGTAATAGACCTTCAATAGAGTTAGATACATTGCTGAGTCAGACATATCTTCTTTACCAGATAATGTAAAATTGTTTTCCAGAGTAGCTTGTGTCAGTTTGCACTCTCACCAACAGATTAAACATTCCTTGTATCCATCTTCTTGCCAACAGTTGTTACTGATTTTTATTTTTTGCCAGTCTGGTAAGTGTCTTGGTTTTGGTGTGGTTTTGGTTTGCATATCCCTTATAATAATGAGATCAAACATATTTTTATTTGTCTATGGGTCATTTTGATTTTTTAAAATTAATTTTTCTGCTTTTTCTTTAGTGTGGAGATGTATTTTCCTCAGAATGACTCTTGGATTGGTTTGGCACCCCTAAACATTCCTCGCTATGAATTTGGAATAGGTGTTTTAGACCAAAAAGTCTATGTTGTAGGTGGTATTGAAACTAATGTGCGTCCTGGCGTCACTGTGAGAAAACATGAAAATTCAGTAGAATGCTGGAATCCTGATACAAATACCTGGACTTCTCTTGAAAGAATGAATGAGATTCGAAGTACCCTTGGAGTCGCAGTACTTGCAGGAGAACTTTATGCTTTAGGTGGATATGATGGGCAGTCATATTTACAATCTGTAGAGAAGTACATTCCTAAAATAAGAAAATGGCAACCTGTGGCACCAATGACTACAAAAAGAAGTTGTTTTGCTGCAGCTGTTTTGGATGGAATGATATATGCAATTGGTGGGTATGGCCCTGCCCACATGAACAGGTATTTTACTTAATCAAATTGAATATGTTTGTAATTTTTTTAAAGTCTCATTGATAATGATTGGATTTTAAACAATTGTGTGTATGAATAAACTTCCCCTTATAGTACTAAAAGTAATATTGATAGACATTTAGGAAATTTGATGTGCTTCACAATTGTAGTTCTTTTATATGGGGATGTAATACAACCTAAGAATCAGTTCCCTCTTATTTAATTTCATTAAATTCATTCATTCATTCAGTATAAATGGGCTAGATTTTATTCAGAAATCTGAAAAATAAGATAAAATTAGGCAACTTTAGATTCCGGGTGGTCTTGGTCTCTGTCTCTGTCTCTCTCTCTCTGTATATATATATATATATACACACACACACACACACACACACACACACACACATAAAAGTGTGTGAAGATATAGTCTGTTACTGAATTGCTTAATAGAATAAAGTGAAAAGTGTAATATACTCCATATAGTATTACTGCCCATCATTAACTTAAGCCTTACTGAGACCTTTCTGGATTCTTAATCCATAATCATACATATTTCGTGATGTATAAGGGTTATGTAGTTTTTATTCTTTGAATAAAGGAAAAATATATGTGAGAAAACAAAAACATAAAGTGACTGCTTATATGGAGAATAAATCGTAACTGAACCTTCACTCTAATAATAATTAGAGTGGTGTATATTTTATTAATGTGAGCATTTTAATCAAAGTATATTATGGTTTGTTAACTCACATAAGAAAGTAATAGCATAACAGCATTTTAGCTACAAATTTTTATTTCTCTGTCAGCTAAAATATTCACACTCTTTATTGCTCCCTTAGTTGAAAGAAAGGTATTTGGGACTCACACATGCATTTCTACTCGTTGAAAAACTGCTGCCAGAAATGTATAAGATAACTAGGTTAAGTGTTTTCGTTGTGAGAGAATACTCTTTGAAGTTTAAGTTCTTGCTATAGTTTATCAACTTCTTGTCCAGTGATTTTGCTCCAGTGGCTTTTATCCTGGTGTCCTTTCAGAGACAGTTAGAGTTTAATTCATAATCTAGTTTCTCTATTCTGAATTTAAGAACTATGTTACTGACTCTCAAATGTTTTAGACATTTCAGCTATTAAATTGGGACAAGAACAACCTCAACAAGCTTGCCTTTGTATCTCTTCAGAGGAAAACATAAGCTGAGAGGTCTTCTGGGGAAATTTTTTAGGAGTTCTGATTTAATTTGTACTTCCGTAATACAACTAGGAATTACCAAGTGTGTCTGGAATACAGACTTGTGTTAAATCCCTGAATTCTCCTAAATCACTCAAGTTATTTTCGTTAGCCAGTTTGTGTTATGAAATTTGCAGTGTTTGCAGTAAATCACCATGAATTCTGCAAGAAAAAAATATTCCTCCTCTTTCCTTCTCTTTATCTTCCTTTTCCTTTAGCTGTGTAAAGGTCATTAGAAAACATTTATATTCAGTTTGTGAGAATCAAAGTACTTTCACATGCATACTCATTTTAACTTTTTCTTCTGAGTCCTTTGAGATTGTATTATCCCTGTTTTTGCAGGTGAGAGGAAGTGACTTATCCAGGATTATAAAAGTTCATAGTGTTAGAGCTAGAGTTTATTCAACTCTAGGTATGCAGTATTATACTTGAACTAGGTTTTCTGACTTCATGTTCAATTCCATTAATATACCTTGGTGCTTGTACAGTATAATGAAATAAATCATGGCTATTTTACTGAGTCCATAGATAAGCTTTAATCCATGCAATCTTGTCAGCAAAATTGAAACATTTGTTTTATATCTATTTATTTGAACTTTTAAAACTATGGTGGGTTTTAGTATGAAGAGTGACACAAAGGATCTATGAATTAATTCTTTTTTTTTATGAATATTTGCAGTGTGGAGCGTTATGATCCAAGTAAGGACTCCTGGGAGATAGTTGCATCTATGGCAGATAAAAGGATTCACTTTGGTGTGGGTGTCATGCTAGGCTTTATTTTTGTGGTGGGTGGACATAATGGAGTCTCACATTTGTCAAGCATTGAAAGATACGACCCTCATCAAAACCAGTGGACTGTTTGTAGACCAATGAAAGAACCCAGAACAGGTAATAACAACTTACTAATTCTAAACAGTCAAACAATATTTTTAATAGTGATACTCCTTGCAGTTGTTCCCTGGAATACAATAATAAGGATTTTCCTTGTTCAGGAAAAGGAATTTGGGGAGGGAGTAAACTTGAAAGACAACTTGTTTAGACAAAACTAAATAGATTTCTTTATTGCCATCTTAATATGCCAATGTATATATTATGATTTCATAAGCTTGGAGAACACATTTTGAGAAATGGTGATTATAGAGTGTACCTTACAGAAGTTCTTTTTCTCTATATGATGAAAAATGTTTTTTTGTTGTTATACATACAGAGACAATATTTGGATTGTTCTTTTATTTTTTATTGTATGTAGGCAATCTGCATATTCACTTTCAGGTGTTCTCTCTTCCTGGGGTATAATTGAGCAAAAAAGAGTTGGACTTAGGGTTCCTAGAGAAAAACAAAAACATCTTAGAGGGAAAGAAGAAATTACTCTTTGAACCCAAAACTCAAATCGCATTTTTTTAAAGATTTATTTATGCATACAAGAACTGGGGTACAGGCCAGAGATACGGAGGTGGGGGGTAAGAGGATTCACCAGAGACGGAGTGGGGAACAGAACAGGCAGACTGACTGAAATACACTGCTGAGGGGAACAGCAGGAGAGTCAGGAGAGGTCTGCTTTGCCATGAGGGTTGCTCCCTGGCCGACAGGGAATCGAACCCGTGCTGCAGAGTCTGCAGACAGCTTCACAGCGGTGTATTCAACCTGCTGCACCACCGGGGAGGCCCCTGTATTTATTATTTTAAAGAGTCCTAAAACATAAACTTGCAAAGTAAACTATAAGGACAGAATGGAATTAATTGATTTAGTTGTTCATTATAGTTAATTTCTTGAGTTATCTTTGAGAGGAAAAACCATAAAACAATGAGAGGTAAAAAATTGGGGTGGCCTTATTCTTCTTAGAACTATATATAATAATACATAAAGTATAATTTTTAAAGCATAGATTATACAGGTCAATGTATTTTAAAATATTTTGATGCGTTTGAAAACTTGACAAAAATGATTTATAAATATATATGTAAACAAAATTCAGACAAATACATGGAAAGATATATACTACATATTTAGTATTTTCCTGTGGTAAAGGAGATGCAGAATAGGATTTAGGAGGAGAGGTGAAGGAAAATGTTACTTTTATTTATTTTTTATTTTTTTAGATGTCACTTTTAGATTTTTCCCCCTAGTAAACACTTATTGCTATACTGCTATAAAATTAGCAATAAATGGTTGAAATGTATTTTAAGAAAATGTTAAATACAAATCATTTATTTTTAATGAGATGTCTGCTTCATGAGTTAACATGTTTTTTCCTCTTTTTACTCACATTTTCTAGGAGTTGGTGCTGCCGTAATAGATAACTACCTTTATGTAGTTGGTGGTCACTCAGGGTCATCCTATCTGAATACCGTGCAGAAATATGACCCTATCTCAGATACGTGGCTGGATTCAGCTGGCATGATATACTGCCGCTGCAATTTTGGATTAACTGCACTTTGACAAGTATGGACTTGTGGAAATAGTATGGTGATGAACCTTGTGCCGCATGAAAGGATGCCGAATTTCCTGAAACCCAAAAGCTGCATTGCTTTCTTTTTAACTTGAAATGGCATGAAGACTCAAATGTTTTGTTGGGCACTTTGAATTGACAAGTAGCTTTGGTTGCTCTTGAATATATATATATAGTGAATCAATAATCAAAAAAAAAGGGGGAGAAGTTCTTGCCAGTTGAATTGTGCACTTTTTTTTTTTGTAGTACTGAGAATAGTTTTATGTTCACGTGAGTATATGTGGAGAGCACTTTGCTGCTTTGTTTCTTTGTTTAATTTCAGCTCTCTCCCTTTTCTTGATATGCACCATAATTTACTAGAATGAAAGATGCTTTGCTGCTGAGTGTATTGAATGAATGGACAGAGTGATGATACTGTCTGTTAGCTATAAATTCATATGCTTCACATTTTAAACAACTAAAGGGCTGCTCCCCCCACCCTCCCCAGTACTTTGTAAGGGTTGTAAATTACATGCCACATTGAATCATTTGAATATTCTTCCTGCTAAATCGCGTTTGGGCTGGGGATGTATTAAGTTTGCAGGACAAATACGCTTACTGTCATAATATTTGATGACCTATTTTAAAGATAAAGTCAAATACTTATTGTTTATGCCTTTGTTGTACAGGCAGATTAAGGCTGGATGAATTTAGTTATCCATCATTGCTATGCTAAGCATGGATAGACAGTTAAGCATAAAAGTTTTGGTTATTTGGTTTTTAAATTTATTTTTTGTCATACTATAGGCTTCCCAGTGTTGATGTAAATATTTGACAAATGTTGATCATCTGTAGTGCGTGTTGGTTTTTTAAAATACATCCTTTTAATAATTTTAGTTCTTTGCTTTTTCAAAGTGTTCAGATATAAAAATGGTGCTAACTGTAGGATCTCTAACAAGGCTATAATGATGTTCCTTTTGAATGTTCAGTATGAGAAATGCATGATATGTCTTGGTAGTATTTTTTATTTAAATGAGCTTGATTCATTTGTGTTTATTTAATATGTTAGTGATTTTAAATAAATAAATAGAATGTTAGTGATTATACTAATGTTAACATCCAAAAATCACCTACAAGGCCTAGGTTATGCTTTTCATGAGTGATTTAAAGAAAGATTTTTATCTTCTTTTGTCTTGTGCTAGATATTATATGTCCTTCTTAATACAGGAATATATGCATTAAATATAAAGCATTAGGCAGTTATGCATTACTTTATACATTTCTTAGGTAACAGTATTTTAGATAATGAGGAAACTGGAACTCAATGTTTACGTGAGTAATGGTTCTAAATTCAGTTCTATTTTGACTAATGACACGATCTTTTAAAGCAAAATTGTTAACTATAGCCAAGTGACAGCTAATTTAAAAGAAGTGGTTAACTCATTTTTTTTTAGCATGCTTTAGTAAATGTCTGTGGGTCTTGAATACATAACCATACCTGTGTTTTATTAGGATGGTACTTGTCTTTTTGGTACTGTAGTCATTTTGTTTTCTTTTGATTTTATTTTTACCTGTTCACTATCTCATTATAGTCTCTGCAAAACCAGTGTATATTTGTTTCCTAAGAAAACATTCATACTGCATTCTTAAGTGCCACAATGTTCTAAACTATTGTTAAGAAGCCATTTGTAATTATAAGATGTAGGTTTATTTGTTTGCATATGTTGTTTCTTGGAAACTTTATAGCCGGGAAATTTGCAGTTTTCCTTGTTCTTCCATAAACTGCCAGTTGTAGATTTAAATATATACTATAAAACTATGTAAAATTATCTTTACTCATATAAGTAATATCATGCTTTATGAATATTTGCACAGATTATAAAACCTTGCAAGTGAATTTTAGACTTTAGATTAAGAACTCAACAGGAGCTACTGATAAAATTAATAGACTGAATATTTTCTATGTTGCTTGTTTGAATAACATGATATATAGCAATAACTTTTTAATTAATTTGAATATATCCATTGAATAGAAACAAGGTGCACTATTATGATTGGCCTAGACTTTATTTTTAAAAAAGCAATTTAGAATAAATTTCATCATTTAATTTTAAATTGTAGCTCAGTTTCTTTCTGTTTATACCAATAAGATTGTTGAATACATCCTAACTCCCCAGATTATAAGGGAATGTGAAAGACTTAGAGAATTATTTTAATTGTAAACAGATAAACATTTTATTTTGCAGTGTATTACTCATTTGTCATCTTCACCATGAAGATAGTATAAAATGTAAAATTGACAAATTCGATCAAAGGCATATATTTATCATTGGTTTGGAAAATTTTGGAAAAATTTAGAAAAAATTTAGAAAAATCTAAATTTCTTATTGGTGAAAACTAAATGTAAAACATCTTGGACAGGAGCCTATACCAGGAACAAATTATGAAAATCCTTTAGAAGAAGAGAGAAAAAGCCCAAATTTAGAAATACTCATTTTAGGTTTGCTAAATGTACTATACCATTAATAACTACCAGAAATACTAATGTGACCTGACAGCTAATAACTATATAATATAGTCTTCTTGTATAGATTTATGAGAAGTTTCATCATGAGTGCTCCACTGACAGATTGTAAATTTAGTCAACATGTTTATGTTTAGGAGGATTAAAATGTTTAATTATAAATTCCCAGGGCTAAAGATATTAGAAATAATTTTATATACTCAGGCAAGAAGAAGAAAGTTGTTTAATATCACCCAAAACATATTTTGGAAAAAAGTGTGTAGGGGAAGTAGGTACAGAAATTAATCAGTTGGGAGATGATTGCCTTCTATAATTATGTTAGGAAGAATTAATCTGTTAGGAATGTTTGACTACTTAATATTTGTTGAATATAAAATTGTAGGACTTTAATGATTTTTAATGTTGCCCAAAGGATATTACATAAAAGTTCCATATGTTACCAATACGGTTTGAATATTAAATTATAGGAAGTGGTATCAAGTGATAGGAAAATGGCATTAGGTCTTGAAAAATTATTTTGATAGCTTGACAAATGTGGAGGATCTACTGTTTGTATGATATATTGTGCTAGATGCTGTCAGGACTAGAAATGTAAATAAGATAGAATCTTCTCACTCAAAGAATAAAATATAGTGAGGGAAACCTGTGCCCAAGTAACTATTATGCTGAAGTGTGAAACTAATTCCTTATCTCTAATATTATAAGAAATGATTAGAGGCCCAGTTTATGTATAAATTTTTGTGTCCTTTAATGTTCAGTTAGGTTTTATTGACATAAAAGTAAGAATTATAAAAAACCTAATGTTTATAGAACTCCAAACTTCCTGGGATTGGATATTTTTTCTAGTGGAAAACAACATTATAGAAACTTTAAAAAATATTTACTATATTTATCAAGACTGGCTAACATTGAAGGAAATATATGTATATATAATGCTATGTTTGTTTTCAGTTTTGGTGTTGGATTTCTGGTATTGTCACCTAAGTGCTCATTTTCAGGAAAATCAGATTCTACAATAAATATACAGCTTAAAGTTCAATAAACTTGTGATAACCTCTATAACCTCTGTAGTCAAAGTTAAGAAATTATAAGATGTCACATGTCAAGTTAACATCCAGTTCTACTTTTTTTTGTTTGTAAAATAGCACTTTAATTAGACCTGATTTAATTAGATATGATTATTCTATGGCTGGATATATATATAATGGATTTTCATTTATAGTATATTGATTCAGTGTTGATACACATTTATAAAGAGTGAGGAATACAGGTTTTAAAAACTACAGGTTTACAAGTTGTCTTACTGGTGTGAATATGGAGTCAAATAAAAATCCAGTTTACATCTCTGCAGAGAGAAAAGTTGTTATCCATATGTCTTTTATATTATACTTAGGGATAATTTATTGTTAATTTTGTAAAGTTATGTGTAAGTCCCATTTATTTTAAAATACTAAGCAAAAAGTTCCAAGTTTGCCTTAAAATACAAGTGAAATTAAAGAACTGGATGATAATGCCTATATTTTTGCCTTATGAATTGTGCTGTATCATAAACCAGAGATGGTTTTGACTTTAACAGGATTCTGAAATTTTGTAGATGTAGAGTACTAATAATTTGTACTCTCTTGCAAAGAATGTGATCTAGTTATGGATTGTGTTAATGTTTAACTGTTTTTGTATATGTATTTTACCTCTGAGTATATCTTTTTAGCATCAGGGTTTTATTTTTGTTTACATAGTAAAGTGGCATTTAACTTGATGAAGGTTGTATTGTCTTTTATTTTAGAAGTTCTTTATGTGTACTATTGTGATAATGCTCTGTAATGACTATGGTTAAATTTCGTTTAATGTGAAGTATTTAAAATAAATCTAAAAACCGTGATTTGTATGTTTCCATTATTGTGAACTTTGTCATGCTCAACTCTTAGGTTTTTTTTTAGTTAATAGGTAGTGACCATAAGAGTTGAGATGGGTGTGGGTTAGCTAGTCCTTTACATCCTCATTACCAGCTTATAGGCTAAATTCTGCCACTTATTCAGATGCTTACTAAAGAGATACTCATTAGCAAAGTAGGCACAGAAGAGTTCAGTCAGTAAGTTCAATGCAGTCCAAGCCTTTTGTTCTTTTAGATTCTTACCAGCCTTACCAGAATTATAAGAAAGGTTTACTTGAAGCAGGCAATGCAAAATTCTTTAGGATTCTGTTACTTTCATGTTGGTGAACCCTATTTCTCAATAAATATCCCTGACATTTTATATACTAATTAGCAAAACATGGGATGCTTACCAAATTATGGATAACAGGAAGAACTTGTAGCTTCCTGGATTACGGGTTTCCTGGTTAGAATGCCAACTATCCCTAAACTGCATTTTTTTTTTTTTAGGGGATACTTTTTTTTCTTTATATTTTATATTATTTTATATAATTCTTACATCATTTTTCATTTTTGCACAATGTATGTGTTTTCATTTTGGTTATATTCCCAATACAATTTGCACCCCCCCTTTTTTTTTTTAAAGATTTATTTATTAACACAAGCACTGGGGTACAGTCAGAAGCACTGGAGCATGAGAGAATTCACCAGAGCCAGAGCGGAGAGCAGAATAGGCAGACTGACAAGGTACACTGCTGAGGGGAGCAGCAGGCGGCAGGAGAGGTCTGTGCACCATGTGGGACCCTCACCCGGTGGCCGGGGATCGAACCTGCGCCGCAGAGGCTTCGGGCAGCTTCACAACCCAGCGCTCAAACGCTGCGCCACCGGGGAGGCCCAACCCCCCTTATTTTGATTGATTTTCGCATGTTGAACCATCCTCCTGTCCCTGGAATAAATCCTGCTTGGTCATGGTGAATTATCTTATGGATACATTGTTGGATTCTGACAGCTAAAATTTTATTGAGGATTTTTGCATCAGTGTTTATTAGAGATTGGCCTGTATTTTCTTTTTTGTGTTGCCCTTGTTCGGTTTTGGTATTAGTATAATGTTGGCTTCATAGAACGTGTTTGGTATTATCCCTTCTCAATTTTTTGAAAGAGTTTGTGAAGGATAGGCACTAATTTGTTTTTGAATGTTTGGTAGAATTCATTTGTAAATCCATCTGGTCCTGGGCTTTTGTTTTTGGGGAGGGTTTTGATTACCATTTCAATTTCACTGCTTGTAATTGGTCTGTTTAGGTGTTACATTTCTTCTTTATCTAGCTTTGGGTGATTGTAGAGTTGTAGGAATTTGTCCATCTCTTCTAGATTGTTGAGATTGTTTGTGTATAACTTCATAGTAGTTTCTGATTATTCTTTTGATTTCTGCTGTGTCTGTTGTCATTTCTCCTCTTTCATTTGTGATCCTATTTATTTGTGCTTTCTCCCATTTTTCCTTTGTAAGCCTGGCTAGGGATTTGTCTATTTTTTTGAAGAACCAACTTTTGCTTTCATTGGTCTTTTGGATTGTTTTTTTAGTTTCAATTTCATTTATTTCTGCTTTGGTTTTTATTATTTCTTTTCTTCTACTGGTTTCTTTTCTTCTACTGGGTTTTTTTTGTTGTTATTCTTTTTCTGGTTCTTTGAGCCATGAGAATCGTTTGTTTCTTTGAGTTCTTTCTTGTTTCTTGATGTGATCCTGTATTGCTATATGTTTTCCTCTTATTACTGCTTTTGCTGCATCCCATACATTAAGGTTATTGGTGTCCTCCTTGTCATTCAACTCAAAGTAATTTTTAATTTCTTCTTTGATCTCGTTAGTCCAGTGGTCTTCCAGTTGTGTGGGTTTCAATTTCCATGAGGTAGGAGAGTTCCTTGCCTTCTTTTTATGGTTTATTTCCAATTTGATGCCTTCATGGTCAGAGAAGATGGTTGGTATTGTAACAGGGTGGTCCCCAGGAAAGGGGGAGGTTCCTTGTCCCACCCAAGGGAGGGTGGAGCTGAGCAGGGAGAGGAGAAGCGGCAGAAGAGACTGAGGAAGGAAGGAGCAGGATGGAGCCAGGAGACCTGGAGGAGGCATAAGGAGCCTAGAAACACGTGAAGAAACTGCGCTTGCCTTTTGGTCATAGACTGGGTGACACAGATGTGGGTGAGACCCATGGGGAGGTGACAATGGCAGCTTTTATCTTGATGTTGATTTTGCTCTTTTCCTTCTGGGCTTGTCTGGTAGTTTCTGACCCTTTTCTGTGGGTCCCAACTGGAAGATGCTTTAGACTTGTGGCAGGCTTTGGGGCCTTGCTCTGGGCTGATCCCATATGGATGGACTTTTACCCATGAGGGGACGGGTGACTTTGGGTGCTTCATTTAGAAACTAGACTCTTTGCCTTACCTGTATTGTTTCCTAGTTTTATTAAATTTCCTTCCCATTAAAGTCTCCTATGTTTTGTGTTGATGCGGCGGATGGCAGAACCCATTTAGAATAGGCAGGTTTGCGGGGTTTGGGCTGCCCCTCTCCCTGTCTTATAACAGTATGATTTCAATCTTGGTGTATTTGTTGATGTTTGTCTTGTGTCCCAGTATATGATCGATTCTGGAGAATGATCCGTGTGTGCTTGAGAAAAATGTGTACTCAGATTTTTTTGGGTTAAGTGTTCTATAGATGAGCTCCCACGAGCTCTAGGTCCTTATTTAGAGCTTTAATGTCCTTACTTATTTTTTGTCTCGTTGATCTATCCATTGTTGATAGTGGTGTGTTGAAGTCTCCTATATGTGTGTTTTCTTTGATGTCTGTTTTCAGAGATGACAATAGTTGTCTGATATATTTTGGTGCTCCTTCATTTGGTGAGTATATGTTTTTTTTTTTTTTTTTTCAAAGATTTATTTATTTATTTATTTATTTATTTATACAAGCACTGGGTACAGTCAGAAGCACGGGAGGGTGAGAGAATTCACCAGAGCCAGAGTGGGGAGCAGAGCAGGTAGAAGGACCAAAGTACACTGCTGAGTGGAGCAGCAGGTGGCAGGAGAGGTCTGTGCGCCATGTGGGACCCTCTTTCGGTGGCCGGGGTGCAGCCTGGGATCGAACCGGCGCTGCAGAGGCTGTGGGCTGCAGAGGCTGCGGGCAGCTTCACAACCCAGCGCTCGGTGAGTATATGTTAATGAGTGTTATTTCTTCTTGAAGTATTGTCCCCTTGATCAAAATGTGGTGACTAAGTGGATGCTTTTAAAGTTTTTTGATTAACTGCATACTTTGGGAATACAACTTCGCACCTCCTTGTGTGCACACTTCTCACTCATCCTCCAAAGGCAATACCCTATTATTACCTTCCTTCCCCATTCCCTCTTTCCTTCCCTCATCCTCTCGGGTAACCACTGTATTTTTCACAGAGTCTATGAATTATTTTTGTTGTGTTTTTGCAGTTTTCTTTGGTTGTTTATACTCTGGAAATGAGTGAAACCATTCAGTAATTGTGAAAGTTTGTCTCCCATTCATTTGTGCAGGCTTACTGCTCCCACATCAAGCTTAGCCTGCTAAGGTAAAGATAGCCCTAGCCAGCCAGTCATTTCATTCAAACCTTTTATCAGGTCTCTTCTTGACCTGAACACAAATCAACTTTACTGTGTTTTGCCCTTCTTTCATTCCACCTTACAATTCCCATATATTGGTTGGGTGAGTGGAGCTATTCATTGTGCTTGCTTCTCTCATTTTCACAATCTTGCCCACTCAGGGTCTTTCCACTCTTAAAGCAAGCTATGAATGCTCTGTGCAATTTAATGTTTTTTATACAATCGTATTAGATTAACAAGGATGTAGAAAATCTATTTGGTTGTATCTGTCTTGGGACAATTCATACCATTAAGATCTTACTTTCCAACTCTGACACTTGGGATTCTAGCTTTGAGATGACATCCTCTATAAAATAACTGAGTGTGGTTGAAGGTTTGAAAAGATGAACATTTCTAAAGATAAGTGTCAAGGTGAGAAATGTCTGAGCATATGACTGGAACAGTTTTCTTCAGTCTCACTTTCCTCTCTGAGCTTTTTAAGTTTTTTTCTTTTTCATGTTGATTGTTTTTATCAGCACTATGCTAGCCCCCAAGAGTATATAATAAGTCCTCACTTAACCATCATGCACAGGTTCTTTGAAACTGCAACTTTAAGTGACACAATGTATAAATAAACCCATTTTTGCCATAGGCTTACTGAATAAACAAGAGTTAACTTTCCTATGGCATGTTTCTGGTCACAAAAACATCACCACAACTTTAAGTAAAAATACTTTCAGCATGAAGCAATAATTTGTATACATTCATAATTAATTAATTCCTTCATTCTTTTTGAATCCAGTTATTGCAGTTCTCTGCTGGCTGAAGCCTACTTGGCATCTCAGGACTTCAGATGGAAACCAACCCCTGGACTAGATGACCTTCCATTGTGGGGTGCACTCACCTAAACATCCACACTTACTCAGGCAGGGATGATTTAGACACCACCATTCACCTAACATTCATACCTTTGGGATGGGAAGGAAACTGAGTAGCCTGGGAAAACCCGCAATGTTGTAGAAAGAAATTCTAGCGTTTTATCCAGGCAGAGGAAGAACAAGCAGTACTTCAGGAATGGTGAGGTCAGGAGAAGCTTTATTACTCATGCATGAGGTCCCAGACCTGGGAAGCTCTATAAGATCTGAGCACTGGTTTGAAGACCAAGGGTTCCTTTTATACACAACTGTGTCCATATGTGTTACATTGATAGCACCAATTCAGCAGGCACAACCACTTGCTGCAAAGTCCCCAGACAAGGGGGGCAAGGCAAGAGGGGATAGATGCAGGCATGTGGGGATGGCCTTGGAGAGACATACAAGCTGGTTGGCTGCCTTACCTTGTAGACAAGAATGATGAGGCCCTGGCCATGAATCTTGAAAGGGAAGGAGCTGTAAGTAAGCAAACTTACTAATTATGCCTGCATTGGAATGTTTGGTGCACCTGAGCTGGAAGTTCTGCTGGAATCTTTATTATATTCATTTGCTCAATAATATATTTTTTCATCAGCAAGACATGGTGAAAATGTGCACACTCCCCCTGGCCCTGGTGGAAACTGCTTTTTTTAACTTGTCAAAGTTATAACAAAGCGAAGCTGAACTGAAAAAAAAAAAAAAAAGACATTATTAGAGGACTACTATATGCTTTTTTTTCCTTCAAAGCCCTAACTACTTGGTTCTTGGTTCTCTTCAGTATTATAAAGCTATGCTGAACTTTTCAAAAAGGTTTTAATCAGCATGAACCATGATTATCTCTGAGTGGAGAAATTATGAATTTTATCTTCTTTACACTTTCATTTGGGTTTACTTAATTCTTCTGATTTATATATTAATTCTGTAATCATATTAAAGGTGCAACTTCAAAAGCAAGTACTGAAAACATAGCTAAGCATATCAACATCAGGCTTCTTACTGTTCTACTGCTAACCTGTCCATACAGATAATTTGTTTCCTAAGCTCCTATCCCATTCCATCGGCTTTATGAGGACTCTGCAGAGCAGCTCACTTTTTCATTTTCAAGTGCTGTTCTTCATACTTTGCAGAAAATCTCATCGAGAAAACTGTGGGTCATAATTTTTTCTCAAATTATTAAATATTAAATCATTTAATTATAGAAGTAAATTGTTATGCTCAATATGTGCAACTTTTTGTTTAATTATCACAGGGGTTATCTGCTTATATGCCTTAATTGTTTGCTTATACTCTAAGAATGAAATAGAACATGGAATTTATGGTAGTTTTTAGTTTCTTTTCCTCTTTATTGGATCAGATCCAATGATAATGCCTCAGATATTAAATCAACTCTAATAATAAATGAAAAGCTACTTTTTAAAGTGTAAATGTTAAGATTATTTACTGAAGTTGTGGAAGAAAAACGTTGTTGAAAAGTTGGAGATTCTTTGTTAAATTTGCTTTGTTCTTTTTTTTTTTTTTTTTTTAAGATTTATTTATATTTATTTATACAAGCACTGGGTACAGTCAGAAGCGCGGGAGGGTGAGAGAATTCACCAGAGCCAGAGCGGGGAGCAGAACAGGCAGAAGGACCAAAGTACACTGCTGAGGGGAGCAGCGGGCGGCAGGAAAGGTCTGCACGCCATGTGGGACCCTCCTCTGGTGGCCTGGGAGCAGCCGGGGATTTAACTGGCGCTGGGGGCCCAAGTTTGCTTTGCTCTTTACCTACTGATTGATGATAGGCTTTTAAAGTCATTTTTGCTTTCCCGTAGGATGTAGTAGTATTTGTGGCATTTTGATTAAAATATAATCTGGGGCCTCCCCGGTGGCGCAGCGGTTGAGCGCTGGGTTGCAAAGCTGCCCGCAGCCTCTGTAGCGCTGGTTCGATCCCCGGCTGCTCCCCGGCCACCGGAGGAGGGTCCCACACGGCGCGCAGACCTCTCCTGCCGCCCGCTGCTCCCCTCAGCAGTGTACTTCGGTCCTTCTGCCTGCTCTGCTCCCCGCTCTGGCTCTGGTGAATTCTCTCACTCTCCCGCACTTCTGACTGTACCCAGTGCTTGTATAAATAAATAAATCTTAAATATATATATATATATATATATATATATATTATCTGACTACTTCATCATCTTTCACCCTTCCCCCTTTCCCAAGTATTCCAATTTCGCTAAGGGTGCTAAAGGTTATAATGAATTTTCTAAACCTCACCTTCACTTTCTGCAGATAATCTAGTTCATCCTTTTTCACCTATTTTCTACTATTTGGTCAGTTGGGGAAACATTCAATCAACCAACTTCCTTAAATTGCAAATACCTGGGGTCAAGAAGGCATATTTAAGTGATTTTTAAAAAGACCTGAAAAGTTCATTAATAAGAGAATCTAGGACACTTGCCTGCACATGAAAGAGGTAGAAAAAAACAGTAATTTTTTTATTAGCATATTCAAGGTAGTCAAGATTTTAACAAACATCTTAATCCTCACAACAACCCTGTGAGGTAGGTAAATCATTGCTTCATGATAAACTAGCATTATTCCAAAAAGTGCAATTCCTAAAAGAATAAATCTGCATCAGGAATAATTCTGTTAATGATATCATTTACGTATAGGCTAATATTTGTGTTTTTGTATACTTTGATTCATGCAATGAGGTGTCCCCAGAAAAGTTCATTGTAAATCAAATACTATTTAGATATACATGTGGGGAACAATTTAAATAGGCCCTGGGTGTTTTTGTAAAGCAAATCACTATTTTTTCTTATGTAAAAAAAGGAATGTTTAAAGCATTTGCTCAAAGTGAGGCATTCTCAGCCTTTTTACTTTATTTATTCTTCAGTAAGTTATCTCAACATGGTACAAAGCCAATGTAAGACAATTTATTGAATTAAATCCTAGCAATTTCGTATATTGAATTACGGCAGTGAATTGTGTTTCTATGTAGAAGTCTCAAATATATTGTTCTCAATCCAACCCAAAACCTAATGTGAACTATTTATTGAAATGTAAACACTAAAATTAATAGTGATAACATTTCAAAAAAGTAGTTTCCCTTGAGAATCTCTTAACTTTTTTTGTTCAAATTGCAAAAAGATTTTAAGATCTTCAAAAAAAATCATAATCTTCTGATAACTATGAAATTATAGTGATTTAAATTGCAAACTAAAATTTCATGCTGTCAATTTACACTTATAAGGGAGACAGCAGATGTTACTCCAAAATTTTAAGTAACTTTTTCTTGGTGCCAATATGACTTACTGGAGAAGAAATATTCCCAGACACCCATTTCCCCTTAAATATATTTTTACAATACATTTCTACTGTTAATCCACTGTTAGTAAACATCCAGTTGCCTAATATTTTCTACAGTTGTTTTCTACAAAATAAATTTTTATTAGAGAATTTCCATTACATTTAATTAGTAAATAATTGTTTAGGTTATATAATTTATTTGTTAATGATAACCTTAATTAAGCTTGGGTGCTTAGTTAACTTAAAATCTGCTGCTAAGTTTATTGTATTCAAGCAAGTAAATTCGTCATTACAAATAAATAATTCAAGCCCAGAAAGACATTTTCACTAAATTGTTTTTTAAAAATTGCTGCAATTAGACAAATCAACAGGTAAAAATAAACTAAGCCATCGACAAGTTGTACATTCAATTCCATACTAAATCCAATAGTGCACTTTGGATTATAAGTGAGGTAGGGCAAAGAAATATAGTCAAATTTATTTTGAACTGTTAAATTTATATAAATTAAATACTGACTTATACCCAGGTTTAATTTGGAAATCCAAAAAGAAAAATTTAGAATTCAAATGAAGTATTTTTTTTGGATTCAAAGAATCATAAACAACCTTTGAGGTACATATAAATAAAATATACAAAGGCTACAAGATATATTTTATTTCAACATAAAATATGCTTGTATAAAAATAACCCAGGATATAGAAAAAAGAAATACAAACATTTTTGCATAGATTCTCCGTATAAAACTTTTACACCTGGGGATAAACACTGGAAAATATACCTCTGAAACTAGTATAGTTGAACAATTTCCTTGGATACCAAGTTTATACAAAATAAAAGCCCTTCATCTGGGGGAGCATGGGCAGGAGGGAAAACAATTTAATTTAGCATCATTCTATATTTATTTCTCTGTAGCTCTAATATAAACCAATGATGACAAAAGGAGAAACTCTGGGGGTTTATTTAACAAAATTAAATTCACATTTCTGAGGCCATCATAGTGCATCCAATGTCCATCAATCTGGAAAGCTGCAGAGTAATGATGTTCTTCTTTGTTAAATAATGTGGCACCTTCCAACAAATACCTGCAAATTAAATGACAAAGTGTAGCAGAAAATTAGTATCTTTCTTAAAATAAACATTCCTTAAATTTGTAACTAAAGAATAAAAAAATTAAGATGTTTTGCATTCTATTCCCTGAAAAAAAGACATCCATCTGTAGAAATTATGTGTGACAACTGGTTATTTAGAGTAAATGTTTAAGAATTTTAGAAATTGATGTAATTTAAGAATTAAAAATTTTTTTTAAAAGATTAACAATCTGTACAGTTCTATTAAACACACATACAAGACACACACACAATTAAAAGCAAAATGTTGGGGCCTCCCTGGTGGCGCAAGGGTTAAGATGCAACCTATGAAGCTGTCTGCAGCCACTGCAGCAGGAGTGATTCCAGGCTAGTAAGGGAGCAACCCACATGGCACAGTAGACCACTCCTGACTCGCCCACAGCTCCCCTCAGTGTACTTTGGTCAATCTGCCCGTTCTGTTCCCCACTGTGTCTCTGCTGAATCCTCTCACCCACCCCGCACCTATGGCCTGTGCCCCAGCTCTTGTATGCATAAATAAATAACTCTTAAAAAAAAAAAGAAAACAACCAAAAAAAAAACCAAAAAGCAAAATGTTGAAAGACACAAATTGAATGCAGATATTTCTGTGTATAATTTCTGTGTATAATGATAACTATCACTTTATGTTAGACAATGACCTTATACTATAGACTATTGTTTTTATTTTTTTTAAAGTTTATTTATTTATGTATACAAGAGCTGGGGTACGGGCCAGAGATGCAGGGGGGTGAGAGGATCCACCAGAGACAGAGTAGGGAACAGAACAGGCAGACTGAGTGAAATACACTGCTGAGGGGAGCAGCGGGCAAGTCAGGAGAAGTCGGCCTCGCCATGTGGGTTGCTCCCTGGCCGGGGATCGAACTCATGCTACAGAGACTGTGAATTGCTTCATAGTGCGGATGCCTAACCTTTTTGCCACCAGGGAGGCCCACTATAGACTATTTTGACATGAAGTGCAATAACCACTATTGACTGTGTGTCAGGTATTATCCTAAACATTTGTGCTATTTCATTACATTCTCAAAATAATAACATTAGATAAAGATGGTCATTTATGTTTTATAGATAAGAAAACTTATGTATTTATCTGGTTAGGTTAATGGCCCAAGGTCATATAGTTTGTAAAGGTGGGGCTAGGTTTTGATACTCATTCTATTTCATAGTCTAAGCAATTAACCATTATACATAATGCCAGTGACTGATTCCCTTAGTAGATTCTAATCTTGTAAATTTAGCAATAGCTATGATGTTTTTCAATAATATTTCCTTGAGGGCTACTCAAAAATCATGATAAAATAACAGGAAAATATAAAATAAATTTACTTGTCACTTTTCGTAAAACAAACAGAAACACCTACTTATGATCAGATAAATCCAAATGATAGGGTACATATGCCAGATCTTCAGACTTCCAATGCTGCATATTTAAGACAACAAAAGGAGGTGCACCATGGCAGAAAATTCGCTGTGAAAATTCTCTTAAGCCACCACACCTAAAATTGAAAATAGGCATGAACTTTATTACAGTTGGGACAAAGCTGTCTTTTATCAGTTCTGGGTTGTCTTTATAACTTAATTTCATAATAAGCATAATTATCTATTTTATTTATAGTAATGGTGTGGCTATATTCATATCTTATATACCTATTTTCAAACTGTGAGATTCTATATACTAGTTATAATACTTTTAAAACTTCAGGAAAAACTAGTGATTTCTCATCTAAGCTTATAAAAGCATGTAGTCTGTTGGACTGATATAAAGGCTTTCATTTATAAATGATTCTTTCTCCAAGTTGGTTTCAAAGAAAAATAATGGCAAAGAGGAGAATAATATGATTCTTATAGTCTTCTTTAGACTGGATAAAATTCCCTACTTGCTTCCTTTTGTCATAGGATGAAGCGAATTCTGTTTTCTAAGTACTATCAAGTATTAAGCATATGGATCAGACACAAATAAATACAATTATACAGTAAAATCTCGATTAACCGGAATGCTCAGGGTATGGTATTTTGCTTAATAAACATTATTAACTAAACTAAGTTAACCAGAAAATCATTTTGTTTCCATCTTTGTGACTAAAATACATCAGTTCACTTTCTGGACTTAAGTACAATTTACTGAACTTGTTTTATTCTTTCCTTTTGCATTTAATAGCTATATGATCATCCTAAATATTCTTATGCATTACTGTAGACATAGAAATTGTTACGAGATTGGTATGAAAAATGGACTACAACTACAACTTCTTTTTTTCCTGTCTTTATTATGTTAAATTTTTTGGTTGTCATTTACCTCTTTCTCCTAAATGAGTGCAGAAAAAAAATCCAGTTAATTGAGGGTCCCGATTAGCTGGGTTCCGGTTAACCAAGGTTTTATTGTACCTACTCAGCAGTGGGGAAAAAAAGAAAAGGCATTTGCTTTGTATTCATCAATTAACTGTAGTATTACATTCTATATATCGATATTTGGTAATGACAACACAAGATGTCATAGTAAATTAGAAGGTGTTAATAAGATTCAAAACATGTTAGGCTTCCTAAATAGTCATGAGTTGCCATTTCATTAAGTATTAATATAAAAGAGTTTATTGGTTCAGGTTTCTTGATGAACAATATAGAAATACCTTCACCTTAGGTATCTATCATATACTCACCCACGCTCTTCACACAGTTCAATTTTGGAACAGAATAACTCATCCACAGCCAGTCGGATCAAGTTTCCATGTGGAATTTCTTGGGGAGGACTAGAATAATTGCAAAATGCATGAAAGAACTGCTTCAACATATTATAGGTAAATAATAGGAAAACTAATTTTATAGGTCAATTCATTATTAGCAAACCAAGTACATAAAGTGTTAAACTCTACTATTCATCTTTGTATTTCATGTAGAAAGTATAGAAACCCCATTGAACTTAATGCCTTAAACTTTCCAAGAAACATTAAATATTTCTATAAACTGATCCTAAAATATGCAGCTGCTATTAAATTAAAAAAAAATTATTTATATAAGCACTGGGGTACAGGCCAGAGGCGTGGGAAGGTGAGAGAATTTACCAGAGACAGAGCAGGGAGCAGAACAGGCGGAAGGACTGAAATACACTGCTGAGGGGAGCAGCAGGTGAGATAGGAGAGGTCCGCTGTGCCACGTGGGAATCTCCCTGCCAGGCCAGGAATTGAACCTGCGCTGAAGAGGCTGTGGACAAGCTAGCTTCAGAGCGCTGCGCTCAACCCACTATGCCACTGGGGAGGCCCAAAATTGTTTTTTGAGAGTTTTTTCAACAGAGAGGCACTGGGGGTGGGGAGGGTTGAAAGCAGGACATAGAATAGGGAGAGAGAGCAGCTGATTAGCTCTACTCTTCTAAATGCAAGTTATGGCCACTGTTGGTCTCAAGTAAAAAAACTATTTAGGAAGCCTAACATGTTTTGAATCTGATCAGCTAAAAAAATTTTTCCTACATATTTGAGGTTGCTTTAAATATATATATATAAATATACATAGAAAAGATATAAAAGGTATATATATATTTATATATGTAAAAACAAATCATTTAAAAAGTTATATAGAGTATAATGAAAAATATTTTTAGAGAAGCATAGTATTAATAAAGGATTATAAATAATTCATTATACTTTTAAAACATATATAAAATAGTTTTTAAAAAGACAAAGTTTTTTGAAAAGCTTTTTTAGTCCATTACTATTCAGAGTAACAAAACTCTTCTCCCTGACAGAAATTTCAAAATCAACATTATCCGATCAGCAATACAGAAAATGGGCAAAGTATATTTCAGAAAAAGGACAGTGGCAGATTCTCAGAAGGATAAAGGATCTGCAGCTTTCCATACACAGCATAATGCTTTCCATACACAGCATAACATTAACCTAAATATGCTATAAAGAAATGTGAATTTAATAAATTTGGGAAGGCGATGTACATGCCAAAAAGGAACCATTTATAGGCTGTTTTTCTGGACCAAAGAATCAAATATACTTCTTGACCACAATGTTTTTGGTTTTTTTTGGTCCTGTTTTTATTTCCCCCACTAGCAATTATCACTTCCCAACTCATGTTCCCCAAGGTCTTTAATGTTTCCCAACACTATCAGGGATGACCAGCTTCGCCTTCCTGTCACTGACTAGCTTGGAGGTCTGCCCTTCCTCCAACAGCCAAAAATACTCAGGAGGCTACCAGAACCTTTCCTAGTCAGTAAAGTAACTCCTCACATCCATATCATCTCCTGGTATTAAGGTTCTAAGTTTGGGATTTCTGTCTATAATTTTGTCCTGGCCATGATCTGAAGGAATAGTTTCAATCTTCTCATTCATGTAGCCTGCTTGACAGAGATACATTCAAGAGATGAAACATTCTAAAACAGTGCTGTGTTCTTCCAGAGGTTATAATTGTGACACAGGAATTAGTCATATTAGCAAATTTCAAAGCAACAGTAAAACATCTTGCATACAGAATAATTCTTAAATTTGCAAGCAAAACAGTTATCAGCTGGTTTTGTAAATTTTAAGATGTTTAGCTATAATAAACTGTAATGTTTTTGTCATGAGACTTATTAAAAAGTCTTGCATTTGTGTGGTGGCTTTAAGTACTCACACAAGAGGTGTACTTTTAAAAAGTATGTTGACTATGTATGTCCAAATACATATATATGTATATATACTTACATGTAAAAATGTGTACATATATTTATAGTAACACTCACTTAAAAAGGTTGATTTTTGGTGAAATGACAAAACAGACTTTAGAGAAACTTACTTTATATTAATTGTGCGCTGCTGATCTTCCTGCACACGAATTGGGCATCGCCAGTTGGAACAGTAACTCTCTTGTATGGTAGACATGAGATTTTCAAGATTTTTAGTAAAATTATCATGCTCATTCCCAAACAAATCAATTATTAATGAAGCTTTATGAACTTCAGATTTGTATTGCTGTTTTTCCATCTTGTCCCAAATCCAAAGTAGCTTCACAGTTGTAAAGCTGTAGGTGTCCATTAAATAAAGAAAACAGTCTACAAACTCTCTACCTAAATGAAGAGAGAGTTCCCTGGGGAAATTTTCATTTTCATTAAGAATGACATATAATAACATCAAGAATCCATCTATGGTGCAAGTATTTTTCAGTCTTATTTCAACATACAGCGGTGTACAGGATACTGCTTTGCGGCCAGCTTTGATAGTAAAAACACCTCCCCAAGGAAGAACAGGCCTCCAAAATGAGCGATCTTGGTTATAGTTATTTTTAATTGATGCTTTGATCTCTTCAAACAGTGTCTTCATCCTGCATTTTAAAATAGAAATATAAACTTATGACTTAGTATGTCAGATACATGAAATATATTTAAATGAAAATAAAGCTATCTAAAGATTCAAATTACATTCAGTTAGATGACCTCCCTAAGTACCAACATATTTAAACAATTTGGCCTAAATTCCATTAAAAAATGTAAAGTAATCTCTATAAAGATCACTTAATGAAGCTGAAACCTTTCTTGGGTACAAAGGACTATTTGATAGGCCTTTATATTTTTTTTTTTAAACTTTTTTTTTTTTTTAAAAGATTTATTATTTATTTATTTATTTGTACAAGCACCGGGTACAGTCAGAAGCGCGGGAGGGCGAGAGAATTCACCAGAGCCAGAGCGGGGAGCAGAGCAGGCAGACGGACGAAGCACACTGCTGAGGGGAGCAGCGGGCGGCAGGAGAGGTCTGTGCGCCATGTGGGACCCTCCTCCGGTAGCCGGGGAGCAGCCGGGGATCGAACCGGCGCTGCAGAGGCTGCGGGCAGCTTCGCAACCCAGCGCTCAACCGCTGCGCCACCGGGGAGGCCCGCCTTTATATTAATTATAATTAATACATATTAATTATAACATATTCTATGTGAAAATTATTCTATCATAAAAAATCCTAAATGAAAATAAACTTATTTAAAAATATAAGTTCTGATTGGGTGCATTCCTAATATAAACCTCTTCCTCCAAAATACAAGCTGTGTTTCATTTCCTTGTTAATATGTGTTAACGTGTTAATATATGAGTTAGGAAACTGATATTATAGAAGTCCTAGTTGGGCTACAGAGTAAGATCAAGCAAAGACAAAATATGAACAGTAATTTTGAGAACTTAATATAGCATAGCTGGTTCAAAAATCATTTCTATGCACTTTGGGATTTTTACTTGCAATTTAGGACTATGTTAAATATCCCATAATTTTAACTATGGAGATATATAAATATCCTATAACATATAGAGGCTATGCTGTGAAGAGTCAAAATTTGTAAGTATCATGATTCTCATCTGCCTGTTTTGGGAATGAACTGAGATGTCACCCCTACTTAAACTGGCACCTATCCTTCCTCCAGTCTTGAGGACCGCTAAACATTTTGTTTTAAAGTCACTGACAGTATTTCAGTAAACATATTTGTGTCATATATCAATATGTTATAGAAAGCAAAATTAAGAAAAAATTAAAGGTCCTAATAAACTGAATTAAAAAAATTGCTTTACTTTACTTTGGACAAGCAAATGAATAAATTAGAAATAGGGTTTTCCAAAATGTTACTTTTGTGGAAAAGTATTATTTTTACGAAAAGAAAAAATATCTGAAGGATAGGAAAGAAAGTGACTGGGCTCAGAGTCTTTCTTTGACCATCTTTTCAAGTACCACCTCCTTCCAAGCACAACATGAACACTACACGCAGTGCTGCATACCTATATGTTTTGTTTGTGAGATCAAGTTCAATCCAATTTTGCAATACTATAAGATTAAAATTCAGTTATTTCTAGGTTTATTAATGTGAGGAAACATACAAACAGTATTTCTGGCTTGAAGCAAAATACTGTGGGCTCTAAAATATTCAATACTATATTTAGTTTGAAGAGTAGGTGTTTATATATAGTCCGTAACACATTGGCTCCAGTCAACCTTATTCAGGAAGAGGGCGTGGTAAATCTGGACCCTGGAGAAAACAAACTTGGTTTCTTATTAATAGAAACCCAGAGCATATTTAAAAAAATCACAACTTAAAAAATGAAACTAGCTTTCTTCATGATTTAATTTTTTTGTTTAAAGAATTCAGCAGCAAGTTCATTACGATTATGAACCTGAGTTCAGTTTCCTAAATATAGCATTGGAAAGGAATGGTAAATCTCTAACATTTTTCTTCAAATTCTCTTTGGACGCGATCAAATGAAGAGTAACAATAGATCTCCAAAGCAAAAGTAACACTCTAAGAGAATTGTGCTACCGTCTACTACATATAATGAAACTTTAGCTTTTTTCTAAAAAAAGGGGGGGCGGTCAGAGAGCAATGGAAGAACTAGAAGACACTTAATTTGGTTTCAGCATTAACTTAACCCAACAAATTACAATAAAAAAGATGGTGAAAGAGCTCCAAGAACTTCACTTAAAATATGTTTTCCAAAATGTACTTAAAATTTCGCCCTGTGGTCGACTGTCCCTTCAGATACTGTATTCGAAGCCGTGACTTTATTTCCCCATTCAACAAGCCCTCATTTTCAATAAACCTGGGAAACTCGCCCGATTTCTATTTCCTCGACAAAATGACCCCTTTCTTTTCGGCTCAATTTCCCAGGGTGACCATCTGTACTGCCCGCTGGTCCCGAGAACCCGACCATTTGCCCAAGACACTGAACGCAGGACCCGCAAAGAAACTCGGGGCGCCTACGACTCAGCTCTTGAATGAGCGCCCCAAAACCATCTGAAAACCAGCCACGCGCTTCCCCTGCCAGCGGCGCGGGGCGTGGGCGCGGGGACCAGGGGCGCGGGGGGGGGGGCGCCCATCTCGGTCCGGGGGGCGCCCCTCTCGGCCCCGCGGCCGCGGCCACGCCCACCCCGCCCGGCCCGCAGCGCCCGGGGCAGGCCTCGAGGGCAGGGGGTCCCCGAAGCTGGCGCGGGTGAGAAGCCAGGGCGCCCCGGCCCGCGAGCGGGCTCCGGCCCCCGAGCGCCTGGGACCGCAGGCAGGGGGCGGGAGGGCCGGGCCGCGAGGGCGTCCCCACACCGGCCGGTCTCCGTCGCGAGGAGGCCGCTGCTCGTACCTCCCCGGGGACCGAAAACCGCCGGTGCCGCCGCACCCGCCGCCGCCGCCGCCTGCTCATGGGAGCCCGTGCTGCCGCGCCGCCGCCACCTCATCTACTAGCACCGCCGGCTGTGTCGGCCTCCCCCGGCGTGCGTGCTGGGCTCCGGCACGGCCTCCATCGCACCCGCCGCGGCGGGAGCCACAGCAGCTCCAGCGCCTTGGCCCGATCCGAGCGGACCCACGGAGCCAGGACCGCGGGACGCGTAGCTTCTTATTACGGAGGAAGATTCGGCCTGACCTCCGCCCCCCTCCCCCCGTCCCCAGGCCCCGGCCGCTAGACGGCACTGCTGCGCAGGCGCGAGGACGCCCTGGCCAAACGTGCGTGTGCGGCTGTGTATACAACATCCAGACTCGTCCAATGGGAGCCAGGATCTGGCGCCGGAGGCGGGATTTCTCAGAGAGGGGCGGGGTTTTGGTGTCAGGGTGGGTGGGGCAGCCGGAAGTGGGCCGGGTTTGCCCGGAGGCGGAGCTTTGTGGGCCAGACGTGATTTTTTTGAGGTTTGTGCGGTTTTATGTTCGAGGTTTGTTAGTAAGTCTTGTCTTTGCAAGTTGTCCGCTCAGAAAGGGAAAGCTTTGTTTTGTCAGTAAATTATGATTATTGAAGCTTTTTTATTTTAGGATGTATTTAGGAAAAATTGAATTAATGTATTAAAAGCGCTCTTTAGTGTTACGATGAGTGACCTACATATGGTAATTTCCAGTGGCAGTTTATCATATTTGGGGAAAATGGATAGTTTTTACCCCGTTGTAGAGATGAAAAATTGCATTTTGGAACCATCAGTTCCCACACATGATGTGGCTGCTGGAAGCTGAAGCTAGAACTGCTCACTGCTAAGTGTCTGTGGGCTCAACTACTGTTCCTTGTCCTGTAGGCCCTAGTTCTTGCACCCTCCTTTGAAGTATTAAAGCCTCTGTCGCTTTCCTTTTGAAAAAATATTCCCATCTGCATTTAGAATTAGGGATGCTGTTAACATTTTCCCTATCTAGTCATTAAAAGATGAGTTGAGGGCCTCCCTGGTGGCACGGCGGGTTGAGCTCAGCGCTGTGAAGCTGTCCACAGCCTCTGCAGCAAAGGTTTGATTCCAGGCGGGCCAGGGAGATCCCCACATAGCGCGGCAGACATCGCCTGTCTCGCCTGCTGCTCCCCTCAGCAGTGTATTTCAGTCAGTCTGCCTGTTCTGCTCCCCGCTCTGTCTCTGGTGAATCTTCTCACCCTTCCACACATCTGGCCTGTATCCCGGTTCTTGTATGCATGAATAAAATAAAATCTTTTTTTTAAAAAAAGGATTGAGCTACAGAGAGCTTGAAACTAGACCTGCACATTAGTGTGGTCCTCAGGCACATGCTGAATTTGGCAGAGATTGGATGCCTTTCTAACAAATGTTAGCTAGCCAGAGCTCTGGCAGGGACCTTATGGACCTCTGTGAAGAAGTTCAGTGATAGGCCTTCCTGGTGGTGCAAAGGGTTAAGCACAGCACCCTGAAGCAATCCGCAGCTTCTGTAGCATGAGTTCAATCTCTGGCCGGCCAGGGGGCAACCCACATGGTGCGGTAGACCTCTCCTGTCTCATCTGCTGCTCCCCTCAGCAGTGCATTTCAGTCACTCTGCTTGTTCTGTTCCTCACTCAGTATCTGGTGTGAATCCTCTCACCTCCTGCACCTCTGGCCTGTACCCCAGCTCTTGTATGCGTAAATAAATAAATCTTAAAAAAAAAGTTCAGTGATAAAGGAATGGAGGCTGGCAAGAAAGTAGACTTAAGATAATAACTGCTGGTGGAGCTGGGAAGAATTGGATGCTTCTCAGAGCATAGAGGAAAGAAAGATTGCTCTGTCCAAAAAAGAAGAATTAATAACTCTTGGGAAGCCTGGTCTTTTTAGTGTCTTTATTTTTCTTATTTCTTATGGCATTTCATATGATGTATAGTAGTCCTATCTTATTCTCACAGTGAGGAATCTGAGGCTCTAACTAGTGTGCCTGTGTTGGAATTCACACACAAGAAAATTTCACTCAATATTAAAATTATCTTGTAAGAAAAAAAAAACCCTTTAAAATGTGTATAAATATATTTTATATGAGCTTGAAAGAACATCCTTCCCTGTGATGACTCCAACCCTAGCCAACATATTGACTCTAGTGTGTAGACCCAGAATCAGAAAATCCAGCTAAGTAGTGTCCAGATTTTGACTCACTGAAACTGCAATGATAAATGTTGTTTGTCACTAATTTTTGGCCAGTGGTTATGTGTCAATCAATAACAAACACAATGAAAGACTTAAAATTAAAATCTTAGTGTTCTAAAGATGTACTTCATGATATACTTGCTCATTTAGGCTCAGGTTCTGGTAATCCAGTAATGACTGCTGAATAGCAGTTTCTGGAGTCTCTTTTGTTAGTTAAACCTGGATTTCGTGATGCTTTTGCAATCATTCACTTCTGAATCATATTGCCTCCCTCTCTGCATGTTAAATCAGCCTAGGGTCAGGATTAGGGGGAAATGACTAAGACTCAAAATTTAAAGAGTCTCTTAAGTGTCGTATTTGGATCACCTTAGTCCTCGTCTTGATTCTGCCTGTAGAGCTAGTTTTATGTCTTGGATGCTACTTTTATGAAGTTATTTGTTAGCTTTTGATGGTGTCCTAATTCTGCAGAAATTAAGCTTTGTCCTATACACAAGCCTACACCTCTTCTTCTTTGTTCATTCCTTCCTTAGTGTCTCCTACCCAAGAGGGAAAAATAGTCTGATTAGCTATGGTCCAGAATGTTCGTTCAGTTCTGCATTTCTAGTAGACAGGGTACTGTGCTTCACATGTCAATATTTATGAGTGGTGTCGCATTTTGTTCTTTTCACCTTTGTGTGGTCAGTACACTCAAGCAGGTCCTATTTTTTAAGTACAGGCCAGGCATCTTCCTCTTCTTTTCCATCTCGAATTGTTGTATTGACTGTTTAGACAAGACTGGTTTTCTCTCTTATCCCCCTACCCTCCACCCAACTCCTATATCTGCATCTGGGTGGCTACATAATGGCACAGTCTGTTTTCTCTTCAGACCTTGCCATTTTATCTTGGGGCAGGGGGATCAGGAGCAGATGAGAAGTCCATTTAGTACCAAGCCACAGTCTTCAGTCCAGCTTTGACTTGGTTGCTAGCTTGGCTATTAATAAAGTGGTATTTTTTCCCATTGATTCCTGTTCCTTAATTATAGTTCTCTTGATTGGAAAAATATAGGCAGGAGAGGTGAGTTGCAGGGTAGGCTCTGAACTTAATGTCACCCTAATGTCATCCAAACCTCACCTTGCATTCCTAAATATTGCTGTTCACTGTGGGGCTAAATGAGTAAACAGAGAGTGTAGAATTTAGAGTCCAAGTGTTGGGTAGGAAGACTTTGGCGTTTGTGTGGTGTGCAGAAGCTGGCTTAAATTGTGGCAGCCCCCCTGCAGCAGATGGTCTTGCTTGCATGATGCCCTGGATGAGTTTGGCAAGAAAAAGGGTTCACTTTGGGGTCAGGACAGGTTTGACTGAGACCAAAGCCTGAGCAAGCAGAGATCTGGTCTTGCTAGGAAAGAGAATTACTTCCTTGGAACGAGGAGGAACTTAGGGGCTTGTAGACTTGCAGAGACAACTTCAGATGTTTTGAGCAGGGTATAAAGAAGGAACAAACTCTTTATAGGGCAAGAGGAAACTAACCTCAAAATGGCAAAACTTTGGTGTTCAGGCATTTTTTTTAAGATTTATTTTTATTTATTTATGCATACAAGAACTAGGGTGTAGGCCAGAGGTGGGAGGGGTAAGAGGATTCACCAGAAACAGTGGGGAGCAGAACAAGCAGATTTACTGAAATACACTGCTAAGGGGAGCAGCGGGAGAGACAGGAGAGAGGTCTGCTGCGCCATGTGGATTAACTCCCTGGCTGGACCACAGTGATGCTTGATAGCTTGATAGCGCTGAGACAGCCCCTTTGCCACCAGGGAGGCCCCTTTTAGGCATTTTTTAAAAGCACAAATAAAGTTTATTGAGAACACATTTTGTTCAAGAGTTATATAGAATAAAAAAATAGTTTCAAAATCTTTCTTAAGGTACTTAGGTATTTAAGAGCTATAATTAAAACATTAGATCTGTAATGATTGTATTTGGCCTTTTTTTTTTTTTTGAGATTTATTTATTGTTACATAAGAGCCGGGGTACAGACCAGATGCACGGGAGGGTGAGAGGGTTCACCAGAGACAGAGCGGGGAACAGAACAGGCAGACTGACGAAATACACTGCTGAGGGGAGCAGCGGGAGAGACAGGAGAGGTCTGCTGTGCCATGTGGGATTCTCGAGGGCCAGCCGGCCAGGATTGAACTGGCGCTGCAGAGGCTGCGGACAGTCTCACAGTGTGGCGCTCAACTACCTGCGCCACCAGGGAGGCCCTGTATTTGGCCTTTTAATTCATTTATTCATTTGATCCAGCTCTTGCAATAATGCTGAATATCTCATTGCTTACTGCTGATTTCCCAGTATTTTGGTATTTATATATCCACCCCCACCCCCTGTCAAAGATCCGTGTTGTATATTTGGTCCTAAAAATTCTTAAAACTTTTTTTTTTTTAACAACAGCTCTTTATTACATGGATTCAAATTCACAACAGAACAATTGCATTCAATAAAAGCCTGTTGTGTTTTACTCAACACTCTTAATTCTAATCTCATAGAATTCCTTTTCCAAAGCCTTGTGCAAAGAAGAGGGTATGTACCAATAAGAAAGACTGTTGATTGTTGGCAGTTTTCACTCTTCATTATCATCAATAATAATAAGCATGTAGTTTTTTTCTTCTACGGACCGTGTTTTAAAATTTTTCTCTACTCTGCTTATGGTACAAGTTTAGAAATAGAATATACTAATACAAAGTTGAAGCAATTAAAAAGAGCTTAATAACTAGTAAATAATTAAATGTGGGTATTGATGGAATCTATGAAGCAATTTAGAAACAACACACAGACTGAAACATTATAGTAGGCCTTTTATGTGCGATGGGGTGAAAGGGGAACTTTTTAAGGGCTACTAATGAGTTTTCTATGTTGCTCCAAGTTTTCTCTCTTTCTGATACCATCTTTAAAGACTGCAAAGCATTGTGAGTGGCATCACTGTGCATTGCTACAGCCATGACAGACAGTGATAGAACTGGTGGATAGTTCGACGGGACTGGATACTGTCTGTTGGC